GGTTCCGGGTGCCAGAGGGAAGTCAGTGCTGGCACCCGGTGGAAGGAAGGCCGCCTACTCCTGCACAGATTTTGTGCACCGAGCCTCTGGTTTAAAGTATCTTTTAAAACACATGTGTCAAACACAAGGCCCGCGGGCCAAATCCGTCCCGCCAGGCCTTGCAATGTGGCCTGCACTGCACTGTCATCACTGCACTCCGCTGCGTTTCCATCACAATGACAGTTTATGACTGTTCAGTAAACCATTTGGCCCGCAATTTAGGCTGGATTTTAGATTTTGGCCCCTTCTCTGATTGAGTTCGACACCCCTATTTTAAAAAGAGAAGCCCACATCTTACTTTGCAAATGGCATCACATGCTTCTACACTCAATTAGTTTGTGTGTTTGTTTTTTTACCCAGATTCTAGAATTTTACAACAAAAAAAGGAAACCAGCTCATTCAACGGTGCTCCCGCAGCTTTATAAAACCCAAGCACTCACACCGAGGGCACCAGCTTATTTGGATGGGGGCTGCTGTCCAGCCCACTGTCTCACTGGCCTCTGGGTAATTTACCCAGCCAGGGAGGGCGGGGCACTGTCATCCATCCGTCCAAAGAGGCGCTCGCTGTGATTTGTCCGCTCGGATGAAGGAATGCTTCTTTCTGACATGCACACGGACCCCGCTGCTGGCGGCAGCCTGCAGCCCTGTCTGCGCTGTCTGTTTCCCGTCCAGCTGCCGGGGTGCGGGAGGCTGGGGAGCCAGAGGAGCCGCGGGCTTGTCTTGAATGAGACAAAGCCTGAGGAGCTGCTCTATGCACAGAGTATGACACTGGCACCCACAGACATGGAACAGGCATTTGGGCTGCTCAGAGGCCCTAGCTCCTGACAAAGCTCTGGGAGACCGAGGATGCTGAGGACATGGAAGAGCGTCTGTGGAACACCAGCCACGCGGCAGACATGGTGAGGGCGGAGAGCACAGAGAGAAAGGAGTGACGTGGCCCTGGCCCTTAGGAGCCAGAGGTCTAACCAGCCCGTGACTTCCCGGTGACCACAGAGACATGCGCACTGGTCGCTCACAGACCCAAGGCCCACAGCCTGCCGACCACATACCCGCTTCACAGACGCACACCGGGAACCAGGGGCCCGCTCGGCCTAGCGTATTCTTAAAACTCACCTGTCACATCGAACACCAGCCTGTGCTAAACAGAGAAGGCAGCAGGGGCTGGACAGTGGGATAAAGTGTCCTCCTCACCTCTCCTCAGCCCCCCCCCCCCCCCCCCCCCCCGGTGCCCTTTCCCAGAAGGAGCCATCGTGTTATAAGTCCTAGTCTGTGGCCAGCCTTAAAAGTGTATGCATAACCATGGACACAGACACAGGCAGCGGTGCGGTCGGCCGGGGAAAGAGGGAGGTCCAAGTTGGAGGGAGTCAATGGAGGGGAAAAGGGACATTTGCAATACTTTCAACAATAAAGATAAATTTTAAAAATAGAAAAGGAATAAAAAATGAAGTCAGCTGGGCTCCAGCGGCCCATGGTGCCCGTGGGAATCGTCTGACAAGGCTCCACGGGCATTCTGCTTCTCCGTAGCACAGGACGCATGTGTCCTGTTTGTTCGTTGTCCGGTTGCCCCGCTAGAATGCAAGCTCCGTGGCGTGTCCCCATCACCCCACCAGGTTCACGCCACCGAGAAGGCCCTCGGGAAAGATCGTTGAATGATCGGTACTTGCCATTCAGTGTGATAGAGACAACGTCTCTTTTTAGGGCGAAGATTTGCTGGCAGCTCATTGTGAAAACGGGGTTTCCCGAGCTCCGGCTCCTGGGTTGGGACAGCGTTCAAGGGCCCCACCTCCGTGCTGTCCCCCCAAGAGGGGACATGACACTCATGTTCTGATTGTGCCGTGAGTAATAAAGGCCTTTGTCTTTGACCTGGAGTCTCATGTTTCCTGCCAATGTCCTTAAAACGGTGGCAAGCAAACTTGCTAGTTGTGGGGAAGCACGGGTCTTGATTGGAAAGTCTGTGAGGAGGAATCTCTAAAAGGCCAGGGGCCTCTGAGGGACCTTGCCGAAGGCAGCAGCCCCTGCCTTGACTTTTCCAAACAGGCCTGAGCCTCCTGGTGCTTTACTGGAATCTTTTTGTCTGGTCTTTAGACATCCTGGCTTAAAGGACACTACAGACGCACGTGTCTTCTCAAGGATGCTACCCTGCCGATCGTGTCTAATAGTTCATTTTAGTTCAAGCTGCTGTTACAGGAAGAGCCCGAGGAGGCAGGCGAATGGGGTTGTTTGGTTATCAACCCAAGCAGCCCCTTAGCCCTCTCTTTCACAGAAACGTGTGTTAGAGGAATCATTCATCAGGGTCTGCCGGTCAGCCCTGGCAGTTAGTCATAAGAAGGGTAAAATCTTAGACCCTTCATTGTTCTTGACAGAAGGACCAGACCAGAGGCAAGGAGAATGAGTGAGTGAATGAATGCATGAATAAGTGAATGAATAAGTGCATGAATAAGTGAATGAATGAGTACTTCAATAAGTGAATGAATGCATGCATAAATAAGTGAATGAATGAGTGCATGAATAAGTGAATGAATGAGTACTTCAATAAGTGCATGCATGCATGCATAAATAAGTGAATGAATGCATGCATAAATAAGTGAATGAACAAGTGCATGAGTAAGTGAATGAATGAATGCATAAATAAGTGAATGAGTAAGTGAATGAATAAATTGTGACTTAGAGGGCCTGTCTCCTTAAACCAGCACCTTCACAGTGAGCAGTCCTGGGGCAGGGTCAGACCCGCAGGGGGCACCGCCTCAGGGAGCGGTCCACAGAGCCACGGAGGTGCTCGGGGACGTTGCAGGAAGAGACACGGGAGTGCGTTCCCAGCTGCCGCTGTCCGTAGTGGATGCAAGCAGCGTGGGAAGGCTTCCGGAGAGGAAGCTGGAGCGGGCAGGACTCAGGGGAGGATGTGAGCAGGCCTGGCTCAGGGTCAGTGCTTCACAATGAAGACCCCGGGTTCTGACGGTCCCCGCCCACCCCCCGCACCCCGAGCTCTTATTGCTGGCTCCTATTCAGACGGAAGAACCACCCCCAGACCTCCCTGTGGCCACCCCTTCCGGACTAAACCCTGGGGGGACAGATGTGGATTTCCCAGGCCTGCACCTCGGCCTCCCTCATGCCCTCTGCCCACAGCCTGGCACAGAGAGGGGGCCTCCTAAGCCTGCCACCGCCCTGCTCCCTCAGCAACCCGCTTTCCCCTCCTCCCGCCATCCCTGCTTCACGCCCCAGGGTGTCGGGGCAGGTGCCCTGGCCCTTTCTCCATTGAGACAGTCCTGCTGGCCAGACAGCACACCTGGTTCTCTGGTTCAGAGCATGTGGTAGAAGCTCACAGCAGGAGGGAGGGAGTAGGAATGAGGGACTCCTCACCCTCACCCCTCATCCCTCACCCCTCACCCCATGAGGCTTTCCAGGGAGCGGACGGCCTGCTCCCCTGTGGATGGGGCGGCCCATTTCCTCCCCTGTGTCTGCCGGTCGCCGGGAAGGAAGCACCTGGCTCTGGAAGGCCGCTCTGAGGTGAGGTGGCGGTGACCGCGGCATGGCCTTCTCTCTCACTGCCAGTCCGGGAGACAGATCTCTTGGAGGTAACAGAGGGGCGCGCAGGCCCCGGCGAGCGGCTGTGCAGCCAAGGGGCCTGGCGGGCAGCAAGGGCGCTGGGCTGCCTGGGCTCAACCCGCTCTGTTGCCATGGCAACGTGGACCAGTAGCTTAAAACCTTGGCCCCTCAGTTGCCCCTCCTTTCTTTAAAGGAGACCTAACAGCCTGGCCAGTGTGGCTCAGTAGTTGAGCATCGACCCACGAACCAGGAAGTCACAGTTTGATTCCTGGCCAGGGCACATGCCCGGATTGTGGGCTTGATCCCAGGGGTGGGCTGTGCAATCATCGCATCGTTGATGTTTCTGTATCTCTCTCCCTCTCCCTCTCTCTCTGAGATCAATAAAAATTTAGTTTTAAAAAGGAGATCTAATAATAATAATAACACCTTCTCACGGGATTACCGTGAAGACTAAATGAGATCACACTCAAAATCCACTTAAAACCCAATGAAGGAATGGACAGGCCAGACCTCTAAGTCCTCCACAGACTCTACACTTTTCGCGTCCAAATTGAAGCTCCAGCCGTTCTGCCCTTTACCGCCACCTCTCACAGCCACTCCCCGATGCCCCGTGTTCGCACACAAACCATCTGCCTCCCTCAAGGCTCAGGTGCGCCTCCTGCCGGGCCCTTCCGGGACCCTCATCCAGCGCCAACCTCCGCCTTCACCCCCACCCGCCCCGGCTCTGGCGCATTTGACCTTCACTGTCAGTCAATGGTAGCCACCTCTCCTCCCCCACCCCAGCCTGTCAGCTTCTGGAGGACGGAGACCGGCCTGGGTTGGACTGGCCCTGGCTGCACGTGTAGAAGATGCTCGGTTCATACGTGTGTAGAGAAAGGCCAGACTGGCCTCACGGGTCCCAAGTTCCCCGGGAGAGGGCTGGGCCGAGGATCGCAGAGGGAGCCCAGAAGGTTGCTCTGAGTTGCTCAATCCCCTGTAATCTTTGGTAAATTGCTTCATCTCTCTAAGCTTTAGTCTCTCGGCCTATAAAATGGGCATCAGAACACGTTTCCAGCCCACCGGCGACTGCTCGTGAGGATCCAGGGGGATGGGGACTGCACTCTACAGCACAGAAGGGGCGTGTACATTAGTCCTAATGATTATTGGCATTTGCACAATTCGGAGAAGAAAGAATAGGTCCTTTCTTCTTGAGAAAATGGGCCGAACCATCTTCACGTGGCTGCAATCTTCAGGGTCCCAGGAGCCGCCAGGTCTGAGTGAGCCTCAGAGAGGCTGGGCCTGCGTTCCTTAGGGCCAAGGCTGTCTCAGGCCTTCCCTGGACCCCCGTGCAGCCTCCCTCCTCCAGGCACCCCCTCTGCTCTGCTCTGACCTGCCGCTTCCGCTCCTTCCCTGCAGACCCGGCTCCCACCGGCACCTACCTCGGCTCGGCTGCTGCAGCTCAGCCCAGGTCCTTCGGCCGACGCGCTGCCCACAGGCCTGCCTGAGGAGGCGGCCAGCCCCAGAGAAGCGACGCCCTGGAGTAGCCAGGCTGGTGCTTTCCGTCTCAAGGGCAGCCTCCAATCTGCAGAGCAAAGCCCGGGGCTGAACAGGCCGGCTCTGTCCCCTCCTCTTCCTTCCCCTTCCCCTTCCCCTCAGGCCTCAGCGTTCCTCCCAGGGCCCACCCCGCTGCGAGGCTGCTCTGTGGTCAGCCTCCTCCGTCGCCGGTCACCGGAGGTTCTTCATTCTGATCGGGCGGGAGCTGGGCACCTGTGTCTCCTCCCATAGGTCCTGCTGGTGTCTGGGCAGGGGTGTAGGGAGAGCTGACCTCTCTTCCCAGCTCTGGACACACTGAGGCCCCCTGCCTCCCGACACGCAGCCAGCGAGACCTCGGGCACCCCAAAGCGTCTGAACCCAGCTCGTCATTTCCCTCCACACCCACGTTTCTGCTCCTTGCCTTTGAATCAGGAACCTGAGAGCCGTCCCTAGCACCTCTGGCTCCCTCACCTCTACCGTCTGAGCAGCACCAAGTCCTGTGAGCTCTTCCCACCATCCCGGCTTCAGCAGGCCGCCATCGTCGTTTGCCGAGGCTGACCCGCAGACCCTGAGCGACGGGTGAATGATCGCTCTGACCTATGTTTCTGTGAAAGAGAGGGCTGAGGCCCTTCGTAGCTATCGCCCCCAAGTCGCCCTGGTCACCTGCTTCCTTTGGCTTTTATTATAACAACAGCTTGAACTCAAATTAACCTCCAGATACAACCAGCAGGGCAAGTATCCCTGAGAAAACATAGGCTTCTACAAGGTAGGGTCTAAAAGACTAAATAAACATAGAGATTCTAGCAAAGCACCCCCGGGGACCGGACTAGTTTGGAAAAGTCAAGGTCAGAGGCTCCCAACCTTTGGGAGAATCCTCCCTACAGACATCCCAACCAAGTCCCGGGCTTCCCCACGGCCTTCCTCCTGAATTCTGGCAACAACCGGATGTCTCCCTGGAATGCTGCCTCCACCTCGCAGCCAGAAGGCTCTTTCTGACGGTGAAACACATTCTGATCACATCACACTTTCCATGGCTCCCTGTTGCCTTCAGGAGACCAGCATGACTCCTTGGCGTGACTTGTAAAGACCTTCTCGATCTGGTCCTCCTTTGATCCCCCACCTCAGGCTCTATCCCATTGCTCTGTCTCCTCCCCAAGTCCTGGAGCACTGCAGCTCCTCAGTGACCCGGGCTCCCCCTGTGTGTGCATTCTCTTCCCAGCCCTCCTCCCGGCTCCCTGTAAGTCCTCCCTCGTTCAGCAGAGAAGAGCCCAGAAGAAGAAGTCAGGAGGAAGAGTGGAGGCCAGGAAGCTGGGGAGGGAGCTTCAGGAGATGATGGTCAACACTGCCAAGGATGGCAAAGAGGACATGGATGAGGAGGACAGGTCGCTGCTGACCTTGGCGATGAGGAGAGGGCAGGGCTGGGGAGTAGCTGGCCTCCAAGGTGACCCATCTGCTAATGTGCCAGGTTCTTTCCTTTTCTGGCATTTTGAAGCCGAACAGTCTTCTGGGGAATCTGCAACACATTTCTGGACCTTGGTGAGGCCCACAGATTTCTATGCTCCTGTCGATTTGGCCTCATGGGGAACGGAGAGGGACAGGTGGCTGACGGCGTTGTCTGAATGTCTAGATTCAGCTCTGCTGATCCTGTGGCCTAGATCCACTCTGAAAGTGTCCAACTATGTGATCCAAGACATTCCCTCCCCCCTCCTTTTTTTTTTTTTTTTTTTTTAATCAGGCCTGTTTGAGCTAGGTTTCTGTCACTTGCGACCAAGGAAAAGTCCCTTTTTCTGCAAAGGATTGAATGCATTTTGTTCCATCCCCTCATTTCCTGGAGGAGGACATTCAGAAAAAAGAAAGAAAAGGGTCCAGCCCTAGTCAGTTTGATTCCGTGGATAGAGCCTCCGCTCAAGGATTGAAGGGTCCCAGGCTTGGTTCTGGTCAAAGGCATGTACCTCGTTGCTGTAACCAGTCTGTGTGTCTCTCTCACACGGATGTTTCTCTCTGTATATCTCTCCCCCTCCATTCCACTATCTCCAAAAGTCAGTGGAAAAAACATCCTTGGATGAGGATTAACAAAAAACAAACAAACAAACAAAACAAAAAAAAACCACACACACAAAAAAAGGGAAAAAGAAAAGAAAAGAAAAGAAAAAAGAGGCCTGAAATGTAAATAATTTGCTCTATGCCTCTGCTTCCCCCCACATGTACTGTTCTGTCCCCTTTTGTGTGACTGGACTCACATTCTGTTTTGCATCTTTGTATTGGGGTTCTTAGGTCACAGCTCTGCCTCGCCCCTCTGGCCGTCCACTGTAACTTCTGGGAAAGCAGAGAGGAAGTAATCATCGCTCTACTCATCACAGGATAAGAGCACGTTAAGAGAACGCTGGGCCCCTTAGATAAAGTAAATGGGTGAATGGGTGAATGGGTGAATGGAGGGAGAGAGGGGTGGAGGAGGAGGGAGGGAGAGGTTGGGAAGGGTGAGATGAATAAGGACTGAGAACTCAGCCCCCGCGGGTTCAGGACTGAGCAGAGGCAGGCAGTGTGGCCATTCTTATCAGCGGGGGCCTAACTGAATCGGAAGTCACAAGCTGGTGATGCCTCTGTGGCCGCCCTGCTCCTTATCAGCTGCCGAGTCTGTAACTGCACGGGGTGTGGCGGCCATAGAGGGAGGCTTGGTGCCTGTCCACACTCCAGAGCTGTCCCCTGCAAGGAGCAGAGGCCTCCTGGCCATTGGGAGCTGCTCCTGCAGCTCGGCCTGGGGCTGTGAATTACTGATCTTTCCTGGCCCAGCCTCATCCCTCTTCTGGTCCCATCTATTCAGACAAATATGGCTCAGCTATTTCCTGGACTTTTTTTTCAGTTACAGTTTACATTCAATATTATTCTGCATGAGTGTCAGGTGTACAGTCTAGTGGGTAGACAATCATACACTTTACAAAGTGGTCTTCTCCCAATATTTCAAGTACCCACCTGGCCTCAGGCATGGTTAGTACAATATTGTGGACTACATTCCCTGTGCTATACTTTATATTCACCTGACCATTCTGTAACCCCAATTTGTGCTTCTTAACCCCTTCACCTTTTACCCAGTCCCCAGATCCCCTCCTCTCTGGCAACCGTCTGTCTGTTCTCTATACCTATGAGTCTGTTTCTGTTTTGTTTGTCATTTATTTTGTTCTTTAGATTCCACATACATGTGACATCCTAGGGTATTTGACTTTCTCTGACTGACTTATTTCACTTAACATAATACCCTCTACGTCCATCCATACTGTTGCAAATGGTAAGATTTCAATATATATCAATATATATCAATATATATCTATATCTATATCTATATCTATATCTATATCTATATCTATATATCTATATCTATATCTATATATACTGTTCCATTGCATGTATGTGCCACAACTTTTTTACCCATTCACCTATTGATGGGCAACTGGTTTGCTTCCATAGCTTGGCTATTGTAAGTAGCTGCAATGAACACAGGGGTGCATGTATTCTTTCAAATTAGCGTTATGGGTTTCTTTAGATATATACACAGAAGTAGAATCACTGGGTCATAAGACAATCCCATGTTTAATTTCTTGAGGAGCCTCCATATTGTTTTCCACAGTGACTGCATCAGTCTGCATTCCCACCAGCAGGGCAAGAGGGCTCCGTTTCCTCCACATCCTCTCCAACACTGGTTGTTTGTTGGTTCATTGATGGTACCATTCTGACAGGTGTGAGGTGGTATCTTATTGTGGTTTTAATTGTCTTTTCTCTGATGAACTAGTGTCAGATTTGAACTTGGGTTCATTTAGTTGCAGGTCTTGAGAACAGAAAAGGATCATCCACTAGAACTTTGTCTACTTCTGACGAACTCGTAGCTTACAGGGGCTGTTTAAACGTGTAGTTCGGTTACCTATCAGAATACTTGCACACGAAATCAGGAGTCAGTTTTTTTTACTGCCCACTGAAACCCTCCGTTTCCACATACGGAGTAAAAGCCAGTGCTATTTGGTATTTTGGATGTAAAATTCTTGTTGTTTGTGGCCCCAGTGCAGTAAATGCTAGTGGTGCTCCCTAGTGGTTGGACCAATGAAATCGCCCCCTAGCCCCCAATCCCGTTTCCAAAGGCTGCGGGGACCCCTCCTGGCCGAGAACCAGTCTTTATTTCCTCTGCTTCTCATAGGCTCGGCCTTATTTGTGCATCCACGGTTCTCAGATGTGAAAACTCTGTCTCATGTTTGTGAGATGCGCTACCTTTGAAAACGCCATGGATGTGTGCATAGGCTCTTGTATGAGGAACTGGACTCAATCACTAATATTGAAGAACCTACTGCTCTCAAGAGACTGGATACCAGTTCTGCAGGGTACACATTCTTGGTGAGATTGAGCATGAATATCACAATGCCAGCCTATCAACCCAACCGTGACTTCACACAAAGAGTGCGAGTGTAGAGAGCCAGAGAGCAGCCAGGCGTGTCCAGTTCAGTGGTTTAAAGTGCATTCATATTGTTGTGCAACCACCACCGCCATCCATGTCCAGTCTTTTCATCTTGTAAAACTGAAACTCTGCCCCCAATCAGCTTTGCGTTTTCTGCTTCCCCGCACTGGCCCTGCCTTCCCTCATCAAGACCTCCTCCTGCGGAGGCTCTTGCTGGGGGCTCAGGGGTGAGGTGTTATTCCAGGGCTCCTGCTACCTGCTTCCTGCGATCTCTTCCTGTCTGTCTGTCCCACCCCTGCTTCTCCCCCATGCTCCCTACCCTGTCCTTGTGCGTTGCTTCAGCCCTGAGGGACTGTGCAGGGCCGGGCTGTGCGGCCAGGCCAGCCTCCCGCTGGCGGGAACTGCTACTTGTTTTGTTCTTTCTCTTTGTTCAGATGCACTGCTTCAGCTCTCACAACGTTGAGTCAGTTTTCCTTGCATGGTAAGTGTGAGGCTATGGAACAAAAAGGTGTCGTTTTAAGGCTTTATTCCGTCCCGACTGCAATCCTGTGGCCATAAGTATGATTTTGGACCCTTGTAGTACAAATAATTGGCAAATGGAGGATA